TGTGTGTGTGTGTGTGTGTGTGTGTGTGTGTGTGTGTGTGTGTGTGTTAGAGGCGAGCTGTGAAAGCAGAAAGCAGCGTTTCCCGACTGAAGGCGGAGCTTCAGCAGCTCCAGGTGAGTCTTGCAACCTTCACACTGTTTACCAACAACAATAATAAATAAATAAAGTAAATAAAAGATGACAGCTGGTTCTTACCGTTAGATAAAAACACAGCAGCTTCCAGCATCACAGTCATGTATGTTATTTATGTCACGCGTGACGTGAGCAGCAGCGTGAGTCCATTCTGCTGCTGGGGTCAGCTTCCTGATTGGCTGCACCTGTGCAGGTGTGCAGGTGGTTCAGAGCTGTTAACCCGTTCTAGTCAAGACGCCTCATGAACTTTATGTCGTGGCCTGCGAGGCAGATTGTAGGTGGGGGGTCGTCCGGGATCGTGCAGATGTTTTTCTGATCTTTCATAGATCAAAGTGTTTGATGGTCACAGTGAAGCTGCTGTCGTCACATGTTGTGTTTGTTTGTTTGTTTGTTTGTGTGTTTGAGGTGGAGGTGGACGCTCTGCGCTCAGAGAACAACAGTCTGAAGGCGGCAGAGTCCCAGGTTGTCATGACGATGAGACAAAATGCTCAGGCGGCGTCTGAGTACTTGAACAAGTCTGCAAGCCACGCCCAGTCCTCCATACGGTCAGCACACACGCACACATGCACGCACACATGCACGCACACACGCACGCACGCACACACAGAACGTGTCGCTCCAAGTAGAAAACTCAGTTTACAGCAGAACGTTCATCAGTGTTGGGATCTGAGGTTTAGGAGACCCACCAGACCAGACCGAGTGGGTCCTGAGTCTGCTGCGTTCCACAAAACCAACAAAGTGACCTTGAACAGATCCCGTTCCTCTCATGTTCCAGATGTTCTGTTCTGGAGGCGTCTCGACTTTACAGCTCGAACGTTTCAGGCTGCAGCTCAGAAACTTCACATCTGGCTTGATGTTCTGCAGCTGGAAGAT